AAGGAGCATCCAGGACCCCCTTTCTTCCCAGCCAGCCCCTCATGGAAAGAGCCAGCCTCTTTGCCAAGCACAGGTCCCTGGGAGCCTTGTTGAGGTGCTTGGGGGCAGCCAGTGCCCACTGATGGAACCACAGGAAAAAGCCAAATTATCCAAGTTCTCACCAGCTCAGCCACACTTGGCACTGCACGAACAACCAGGTGAAATATGAGTTTAAAGTTTGTCTGGGGTTTTTCCCCACACGAGGTAGGAAAAGGCCCTGCGAGGCCTCGGCCCTGACAATGCTGAGGGGTTTTTTTCATGGCCAGAGCCGCTTTCATTGTTCAAACCAAACCTTCCGTGTGGGGAGAACATGGACAAATAAGGGCTGGATGTGTACTTGGAGCTTGGCTGCTGGCCTGGGGGCCTGGCAAATGGGCCTGAACTGCAAGAGGTGTTTTGACATCACAAATAAGGACAAGGAATTAGGCAGAGTGGTGATCCGGAGAGAGGATGAGTGGGTCTGCTCTTACAGGGCTTTCAAGGTGCTGCTTTGAAGGTTTGCAAAGTACTTCAGCTCAACATCACAAAGAAACTCTTGAAATCTACTTTCAGAGAGCTGGCAATGTTCCTTTTAAAGAAATTGTAAAATCAGTCAGATAGTATCCATCCTAATCTTAAATATAAAATAATGTATGAAGATCTTGAACTTATAGATAATATTTAATGGTTTATACATGATCAAGTGTATTCTTTTAACAATGAAAATTATACTATCACCAATTTCTTTACATTCATGGTCTATTTTGACAGTGTGTTAAAATAAAGCTCAGCCTCTGACAATCACAGAATCAGTTACTTTATATTTCTGTTTTAAACTTCTATTTGTCTGAATCAAGAATTTTTCTTTCCCAATTTCCTTTCCAGATTCTTCACATCTCTGTAGCTGATTGAACACTGTGGTGCACCTGACTGCAATTCAGTGTAAACCAGCAAGAGCAGCTTCCAAACAGACTATTAAGTTATTAAAGGTGCATTTTTATAGAAGCGAGTGTGAGGAACCAAAACTAACGACTATTAAAAACAGCTGGTTAATTTTGTTGCATTCAATCTTTCTTCATCTTTTACCTCATCGTTAAAATTGTGAAAGGCTTTTTAGATTGCAATAATGAAAAATAAACACACCTCCACAGCTAGCCTAATTGATTCTCAGGCTGTATCCCCCACACGACAAACATGCATTTGAAGAGAGAAAACTTCTCTGGTAGCTCAACTAAGGGCAGTTGTGATGATTAAAAAGTCAGCTTCTACAGCAGAAATATTATCAGTTAACTGCTAATTGATATTGTGTCTTTCCATAAAACCTTTCCATGGTATCCTGAGACCTACAGCCAGGAAAAAAACCCCACAAAACAAAGCTGAAATGTTCTTCCCCAGTGCACTCCACCAGCCCATTTCTAGAACCTTAACCAGTTCTGTATCCACTAAATACCAACAAGAAAACTTCTGTAGTGCTGTAACGTCATCACCGACATGAAACACCTTCTGGACCGTCTGCTTGGGGTATGGTTGCAGAGATATCACTGTGGAAAGGTTCTTCCTTCATATAAAAATTAAAAAAGCTTCACTATACTGTGGTGGGACACAGGTCCAAGGCTGCCAGAGCTCCAGGAACCTTTGGACACTGCTCCCAGGGATGCACAGGGTGGGATTGTTGGGGTGTCTGTGCAAGACCAGGGGTTGATCCTTGTGGATCCCTTCCCATTCAGGGTATTCCATCATTCTACAAGCAGTGAATTCTTCACTTTTCATATGCACTGGAAATTACAGCAAGGAATTGGTAATAAAATACCGAGTATTTTAAGCAAGGGATCAGGACAGTTAATTCACTGACATACTCCTATAAGAAATAAACATTTTTGTAAGGGAAAGTAGATGAAAAAGTTGCTGTAAATTGGTGGGTACTATATAAAATTGTGGAGAGAGTGGATTCTAGTCTCATTTGGTATTCATCCAACTAACTCATCCCATTTTACCAGCTGTCCTTTATAAGGTATCACTGATGCTCCAGTGGGCCTCAGAGACTCCAATTGCATGGAAAATTATACAACTGTCAGCACAGCTCTGCCCAAGGGGGGCTTCAGCATTGTTTTGCAAAGTGACAGGGCTAGACCCTGCCTATATGTGGTATTTCTGGGATAAGGAAAGTGAAACTAACCTGAACGTAAATATTTTTAAAGCAAATTCTAGTTGACACATATGTGTAATTTTTTGTATAAATTATTTCCATAGATTTTGGGGAGGTTCTTTTTATGAGCACTTAAATGGGAGCTTTTCATTAGAATATAATCACTTTAAGGCAGGAAATCCCTCAGGCATAACTGAGAGCTGGGATCTCCACTGCATCTATAGCTAAAGGAGCAATCAAAGAAAATTTAAAGGAGAGACTGAAGTCTCAAAACCCATAATAATGTTATTAGATCATTCAGCATGCAAATATTATTCTACTCAACATTCAGCAGGCCTCCCCAGCTCCACGCTGAATTGAGACAGGAGTTCACTGGGAAATGAACCTCACACCAGTGTCAATGACATCTGAGTTACAAATGTGACATCTTAACCTGAGAAGTTCAAGGCCTTTAAAACAGTTTCAAAAAGCACTTGTAAGTGTGATTGATCCTACCAATCCATAGGTGGGACATCAAATACTAACATGGGAAATTAACTGAGTCAGCTCTGAGCTCATGAATACTTCTTACTTTCTGACTAAACCAGAAAATTCTGGTTAGGCCACGTTTTACTAAATTATCATCCCTGCTGCCAGGAAACCTTTCTTTCCTCTGCTCTGGTAACTGTTTCAGCCTTATCCCATAAAATTACAAGGATTTTATGAAGATAAATTCTGGAAGAGCTTACAAGACAGGGAAGAACCAAGTTGTACAGGTCCTTTTCACTGTGCCACAGTCACTCAGGACTCCTGCTCAGCCATTTGGTTACTTCAAAGAAGTGTCCTGCAGTAATTTTTATTTCATATTCCCCATAAAACCATGTGAGATGTGCAACACACCGAAGTATGAAAAACAGAGGAAGTTCAGTGAACTGTGCTTCACCAAAAATGATGTCTGGTTGGAAAAAGTGATTTTCAGGCACTGTTCCAAATTGTGTTTTTTCATAAAGGCATTCAATGAGGAATCCACAATGTGCTGCGGATACCAAAAGATAAAACTAAGTATGTCAATAATTAATTTGCAAATCATGTCTGGCTGATGTTAGAATTCCATTTCCACGTAGGAAATTATTATGTTTCTTTTCTTTAAGAATAGTCATGTCTTCAAGAATATCCTCTTCACTGAGCTTGGAATCAAGAAAAACAATGGTTTGGGACTCAGAACTAAGTATGAGCTTATATTTGCCATAAGCATTTAAAGTTTCTCGTCATGAATACCTTCTCTCCAGTAAAAATTTCCGGAGTTTGACAAGACATATTTCAGAGAACTTTTCCAAGCAAAACAATTAAAAATGAGATGTAAGCTTCATGTGACTGGGAATTCCTATTATGTGATCTACTTGAAAATTAAAACCCAGCGGAGCCTTGACAATTCCAAGGCTATGCTGATTGCCATTTGAAGCTGGAAAGGTTTTTCCCTAATGCACAAGTGATGAAGTGCACGTAATGCTTGGAGGAAAGTTACCTTATCTGCAGTATCAGATATAGATTACTGCTGGAGTCAGCGTGCCACGCTGCTGGATCCATACGCTCTGTTCCAGTATGAGGAATTGAGTTTCCCTGATGTCATAAATGGAACACATAATGCAATTAACATTTCCTTTGAAGTTCACATTGACCAGGTAGCCACTAGAATGAGCTGGCAAAAGTTGACTGAAGTCACCGCCATGAAATCGGCTCAGACAGAGATGTCAGCTCTGACTTTCTGCAAACGTGGAATTCTTGAAGCTGAGACATTGATGGCTGCTCCTTTGGGACCCCTCAGCTAGGGTAATTTATGGTATCACACTACAATTGACATGTTTATGATCACACCAATAATTCCAGACTTTGAGGCATTTAAACACTGGAGGTAACTAAATGATTAATTTTAGAAAGAAGAGAATGGAACAAAGCCAAGACTTCTATCTTCTTGAAAAAGAAAAGAACTTAAAATGAACATCTTGGCTACTTTACAAGACTGCAGAAATATAGACTGAAAGACTGTGTAATTTCCAAAAGTGTTAATACTCCTTGGAGATGAAAATACAGTGACAAAAATAGAATTCTTAGAATGAAACAGAATTTTACGTGCACTTAAAGAGAAAGAAAATTGTATGAGGAGAAGGAGACATTGCACCACTGTCAATGCTTTATGGGGAGATATATTTGGTTTGAGCATTGAAAACCAGACTGATAGATGATCAGGTAGAAGTCTCTAAAAACACTTAGGAAAATAGATGGTGGAAAGTTATGATTGGCATTATTAAACGTAAGAAAGTAAGGAGGTTAATTTTGCACACAACAGAAGTGCAACTAATAAAAACATCGATACAATCACAGGCTGATGATTTAAGCAAAATTACCTATGGTAATATAATAAGTGAAGATTAGTAACCTATATGTAAATATAAAAATAAATCTTGATCTACACAGGAACATAATGTGCATCTCAAAACGTCATTTCATACTCTCAAGATGTCCAAATACCTAGAAGCTGTTTTGAAGCAACTATTTTGCTTCTTCCGATCCCCAGGAGCACAAAGATTCAAATCCCTTTGCAATGCCTAAGACACGTGCTGATTATTTGTGTCATTTTAAGGAAGAATTAATGCATTTAGCTGTTAAAACAAGAAGCATTCCTTTCACTCCCATGCCAGCTTTAGCTATAGCTGGGTTGGTTTACCTTCTTTCTTAGAAGACTCTTGTTTTTTATTGTTGGGAATAATGGCAGCACCGTGAGAATTCTGTTCAGGTTGGAATCAAAACCTCTCTTTTCACTGTCTGGAGAGCATTTACACAAAGTCCCCTAACTCAAGTGGAGCGAGGGGCACTTACCTTCTGTTGGTGATGTCTTCAGATGTCTGCAGAGCCCCTCTGTTTCCCCATAAGTCTCTTTAATTTTTACTACTGCTTCTGTCCCTCGGAGTTCCATGAGGGAGCGCAGTTCCTGCAGTGTGCACCCAAACTCTCCTGCATGGTTGGCCTCATTTCTTTGGTTCTTGGAATAAAAATCGCTATTTGTCATGTCACCCATCGTGGCTGGTTATATTGCTCCACTCGTTGTAGCTGATACAATCTTAAAACTGTTTAAAAACCGAAGGAGAGGAATCTCGAATTCCAAGCGGAGAAATTAAAAAGAATCCCGCGTGTGTCCGGCGAGCGAGGTGGAGGATGCCTCTGGCGTGGAGGGTGTCCCTGACTGGCTGGATGGAGCTCACAGAACGGCTGCTCTCAAGGCTGCAGACCAGCTCCACTCCATTCACCATTTCCCATTATGTTGCACCCAAGCTGTAGAATCTACATGGTCATTTCTTCCTCTGGACCTTTGGGAGCAAGCAGAAAGGAGTCATTAGAAGGCGGGACGGGTGGGGATGTCAAGCAGCACCACGGTGGGGTGTCCTGGAGATGCTGCAGGTAGCAGCATCCACCCCAGGATAACACCGGCTCTGCCGTAGATAAAGCTTCCCTCGGCTCGGGCACCAATGGCAGCGCCGCTCGAGTCCCAAGAGCAGCGGCTAAATGAGATGAGTCATGAATATTAATTAGTGAGTGATTAGCCCCGGTACGTGCTCTGCCCCATACAGCCACCCCCGGCTGTCCTCTGAGCAGAACAAAGGCTCCCCGATAAGGCTCCCGGGTTAAAAACGGGTTAAACACTACCAGCCTTCATCACGGGTTAAAGCAAAACTGGGGTTTAGCACAAGGGCCTTGAAACTTCGGGGGAAACTACAGAGCCAGCGTCACAAATGCAGAATATATTTAAATACATGACATCTTGCAGCCTTGCCTTGTGCACAAGTGAGCAGAGCGTGAATGCGGTGGGATGGATGTCTGGCTGGGCAGAGTCTGTATGAGGAGTCCTTTCCCCTGAGCCCAGTCACCAGCAGGCACAGACACACACAGCATGCTGCTGGGCTCTCTCTTTTCATTTCTTTTCCTCTTTTTTTTGTTTTTTTATTTGCTTTTTCATGTGCAGTGTCCCATTCGACCATCTGGGAGACAGTTGATTACTTGCTAAAGCCAGCCTTTAAAACCTGTTTCCCCTTCCCATATTCTAATGAAGTGGGTTTAAACACTGCTGAAACCAGCTATTATATTTGGCACGCAGAGTTTTAACAGAGATTAAAGGTTTCTTTTTTGCCTCAAGCGGGTTAGTGTGAGTGCACTGTCTAATCTAGAGGTCTCAGAATCGTTTTCATAATAAAAAAGATCTTTCAAAGGGCACCCCAGCAGCCTAATGACTGACCAACCTGTCACAGGCAAAGGGCACACGTTGAACCTTCGAGGCACAGCAATCCCCAGTGGAAATGATACATAAATGCCCAGATAAAGCACATCAAGAGGAGCCCGATGCTTTTCAAGTCCCAGTTTTATATTTGCACAATAATTTTAATCCCCCACCCAGCTCCAGTTGGCATAACAGGCAGGGTTTGCTATTCCCACTCTCTGAGGACATTGCCACTGCTCTGCAGTGACAAAGACCAGGCCTGTGTGAGCACTGATTTGGAGTTACCTTGTTCAATTAACAAAACTGAACCTCTACCAGCCCTCTCCTTTACAGCTTCAAACCTCAACATTCCTTTGATTTCTGTGGAGGGAAAAAAAAATAAAAAATAAAAAAAATAAAAGCAAATAAATAAATAAATAAATAAATAAATAAAATTATTAAATTAAATATTTAAAAAAGGAAATTCAAGTTTCACTATGATATTACAGACCAAAATTTAAATACCAGCCAGCTTCTACACATTTCTTCCACCCATCCTATTTACTGATCTATCTTCTAGTGCTAAGAACTTCTGCCACCCTCAAGTTCACGTATTGCTTTTCACATTCACGAGACGGGAATTTCAGCACAAAATGTTTTTACAGCCAACAACAAAGAGAAACCAGAAGCAGCAGTTGAAAAGGGCCTTTACTTGCCAAGCAATAGCCAAGCAGGAGATGCTGAAGCACGCTCAGCTCTCCGTGCCTGCATCCTGGGCCCTGCTCTGCCTCAATCCATCCCCAGGTAATCCCCTACATACAGCAGGAAGAAAAGGCCTTACTCACACTATTGCCTTGACTGTTTGTAAACAGGATGGATCAGTATTCCAAACAGAAATAGCATCAGCCTGCAGCATTATTTGGGAAAAAAAAAAAATTGCAGGCCAGAAATGTCACAGATGCCCAGTCAAACAGGCTTCATCCCAGGAGGCAGCGAATCGCCAGGGCTCCTCCTTCCTACCAGCAGCATCCCAGGCTCTGCCTGCTGTCAGCCACAGCAAAATGCAGGCTGAGATCTGATTGTCAGAAAGACTCTGAGGCCACAGTAATAATAACAAAGAGCTGAAATAGCAGGCTGCTTTTTACTTCCAGCAGCTAAAAAAAAAAATAAATTCTGTTCCTAAGTGCAGTTCGGGGTTTTGAAAGCTGGGCATCTCAAACAGCCATGATTTTAAGAAAAAAGAAGACAGAAAAAACATTGCTCTAATAAAAAAAATCTTTTTAAACAATGCTCCAAAATAATAAAACTGTTCTTAAACTGTCCCATAATACCACAGAGAAAAGACAATTTTGAGTGTTTTCTGAAGAGAACCATCTACCAATTTAATTTCTGATGTAAAGGGTACTAAACACAGCATCAAAGACATTTTCTCCATGATCTTTCTGTGGAATGTGTCCACTCCTCTCAATCAAAGCATGTCTTTATGCACTAACACTATGAATTAATATATTTTCTTCTTTTCTTAGAAATTCATTGTCATTTGTCAGCCACTGCGAGACAGTGCTGTTGCTTTTCAGCATGAGTCATTTGCCTGCTTAATTTTTAATTTCACCTCCGATTAAATATTAACCAATAAACACCAAATATGAAGTTTACACTTCTCCAGAGCTTCAGAACCAAACCAGTGGCAGCCTGTGCTGCTCATGACTCACCTAACACCAGAGAAACACCGCCTCACGTTCCTGAGGGGCGGATGGCGAAAGGCAGCGGGACCGGAGCGTGACTGACATCATTCCCTGCTAATGCAGCTCCCTAATCCCGTGGAACTGGACACTCAGGCTCTGTTCCATCCCAGAATCTCTCCTAGCAAAAGCCTGGCCAGGCTGGCAGGACTGACACCTCGCCCCTCCTAAGTGGTGAATATTGAATATTTCTTCACCAAAAGCTGAGGAATAGAAAAGTTGTGGCTGGCACGTGGCGGGGATTTGCATCTCCAAAATACATCCAATTACCACACGTGGGGAAAATTAAGTTATTGCATTACCATTATTACAGTGGGTTTGGGTGAGGTTTTTTTGTTTGCTGTTTTTTTGGGTGGAGGTGAGGGAAAGGACTATTTTACAACAGAACTCACAATATTGAGATTTTCCAGATGTAGATATGTCCTACACAAACTACCAAGAAATCCTGATGAAGGGAGGCGATACTGGCAAGTTTTTCAATCAAAAACATCCAATAGCACAACGACACAATAAATAAAGTGAACTGAATTTCATGCTCTGGGTGCTGCTTTCACTGCTCTATCCCTGGTGGGCTTCAGTGGGTTTAATTCATAACCAAAGTCTTCCTGGAACATAGAGAGGCACCACCCCCAAGCCCTGAGAGCACAGCTTTCCACTCCATGCCAGAACAGGGTCACCTCCTCCTCCAAGAGGCAGATTTGGTCTCATCACTCCCTGTGAGAGTAACTCAGAGGGAAAACGTCCCTTCTCAGACATGTTCAACAAAAGAGAAATAGAAACTTCAGTAAATGAATTTCACACACAGCGTGAGTTGGTTTTCCCAGATGAAAGCAGTCACTTTTAAGGAAAGTTATTTGGTTTTACTTATTCTTCCCAATGCTTCTGAGAGTAGAAAACTGAGTAAAAGAAGTCCCAAAGTGCATTTTGAAAACAGGAGATTGCTGTGGAGCAGAGATTTTTATCACAGCCCACCTGGGTACAACTCAGGTAACAAAAGATTTCATACACAGAACACCTGAGGACAACACCACCCTTATTTTCCTCATTAATAAGTCAGAATATCAGTCTGTACCTCGGTCTGGAATCTTGTCAAAGATGGATTTTGTTTGAATTTGTTGCACAAATGCAATATAAACTTGAGCTGGTTGTTTGGTTGGGCTTTTTTGGGTTTTTTTTTCCAGAGTTGCTGTGTCTGGGGGAAGAGGCTTCCAGTCCTGTAGAGCCCAAGTCAAATATTTTTCATCTCCTAGCTGCTTAGAGGAAATGCATGCCAATTAAAACAAAAGCAATTTGGATGAGCTAACTGCAGGCCTGCTGGGAAAACTATTCTTTGATTTCCCTAATCAGGAAAAGTCTCATCTTGGAAGCTTGTAAATATTTTCACAGTGTGTTAGAATGTAGATATCATCCCCAAGTATTCTGACATCTGATTTCTTTCAGGCTTCTGCTGGCAGGAGAGTTAACAGCAGTGTAATGAAGCAGATTTCACCAGAGCAGAATCCCAAGACTTGCATTTCACAGTCCTTAAAGTCTGGACAAATAATGGATCCATGATGAGTCAAAAAAAAAAAAAAAAACCAACAAAAAAAAATTAAAAGAGGATATATTCTTAATCTGACTGCTTCCTCTAAAGTGTCACCTGAGGTTATGGCAACTCTGATTTCACAGTTTGCTGGTGGAGGAACTGCTTGAACTACAGGTTAAAGGGAGGTCCCCTCTCAGCCAGGACAGAGATCAAGGTCCAGGCTCTGCTCACTCCTCGTGCAGCTGGAAGCTGGCACACCCAGCTGGGCTCTCCAGGAATTAAACTCAGGGAATTAGCATTTCCCACCCTTCCATAGGGAGCGTTCCTGCCCCACTTGGACTTCACTTGGCTGTAGATAAAATCCAGCTGAGCCCTATAGAGAAACCCCAAATAAGGGGGAGAGAGCAGTGAAGTGTCACGTTTTAGTGAGTACAAGGTGCATAACCAGATCCATCTGATAGCCTTCCTTCACAGAGCAGGACTGGAAGCAGATTTAAGGGAATTGTCCCTCGAGTCTGAGCAAAACCAGCTGAGATGTCTGAGACTACAGTTCCTTGAGCTCCTGGGAGCAGCAGGGTAACAACTGATTGCAGAGGATGAAAACCTCACAGCAGAGCTCTGCAAGAAGGAAAGGAAGGAAAGATGAGGAGGAAAACCATAGCCTGCCCTGTAGAGGCCTCCAGAGATGTGAAATAAATCAAGTGTGACCCAGCTGTGGCATCTTTGCATGGCAAAGCCAAAATGTCCATCCATTTGTGAACACAATCTTCATGAAGGAGAATGAGGAATGGATTCTAGATCCAGCAACCAAGAAAGATGATTAAATGAATCCAACAATGCCTAAACTCA